ATATATATATATATATATATATATATATATATATATATATATATATTTTTTTTTTTTTTTTGTGTGTGTGGTCTTTTTCAGGAAATAAGTATGAAACAAAAACTTTCAGCATAACCTTAAACACTAAACTGATTAACTCTGAAGTGGAGCGTGATAAGAAGTTTCCATTTCAGAGCAGCAGATCAAAGTTGGTTCGATCAACTGGCATAATTGCATGTGTGGATAGTTATGAGACTATTATCAGATTTAACAGACAATGATTTAACACAACACTTTAATAAAAAGCACAATTTTTTGTAATCATTTTGCACATCCAATATGTTTTCACCTGTCTTGTATTTGTTTTAATGGATATAAAAATATAACCTTGAAGTCAAATTGACAGCAAAATCATGAATTTATTCATTTGCAGCTGATAAAATTTGAAATTATTTCATATTGTTCTCAAAGACTCTTTAAATAACTGTGACAACATACTATGGTGAAAACTAACCACACATGATGGGACTGATTGTGATTACAACAGTAAGACAGGATTTTTACATTACCTTTAAGGATTAATTTATCATTCTGGATTGGAAAGCAAGTTTATATGCAGATTAACCAACAAGGACTTTTGATAAGAATTGTATAAATGTGGAAAGTTTAACTCTGTGTATCAGATAATTCCTGTTTAGTGAAAGCCTGAAAGAAAATTAACTGGTGAATGTTTCCACGAGCATGCTAATTCACACTAACGATAACTTAATGTGATTTTGCACTACAGTATTTTTTGGATTATAAGGCGCAATGTCAATGAACGGGTCTGTTTTCATACATAAGGTGCATTAAGCTAAACAAGTTCATTTTGAGAGATTGATTTTAGCACTGTGTACCACATAAAATCGGTTTGTCAGTAAGCACAACCAGAGTTAATACATAAGGTGCACCAGATTATAAGGCTCACTGTCAATTTTTGAGAATATTTAAGGATTTTAGGTGCACCTTACAGTCCTAAAAAGACGGTATTTTGCATCATACTGTACCTTCAGTTCGCTGATTTGTGACGTGATGTGCCACATCAGGTTCTCACCCAGAAACTTCAAGCCGTATGGACCAATTAGTTCTGCCAGGGCCTGTAACTCTGTTCAGAAGCAGATTCTTTTTCAGTGGAATCAACAAAGATGGATTCCAACTGAGCAGCTACAGTCAAGCATTATGCTGTTTTATTTACAGTCTTGTGATTTTAAAGGTGTTCAATACCTTTGCTCAGTTTCAATCACAAATGATTCAGTTTGATCAGTAAGTTCAGATCTTTCACTCAGGCAGGCATGTGAATGGATATGGATGGAGGAGAATGCATGTGCATTAAACTGAACGTGGTTAATGGATTGGCTAGTGATTCATTGTGGGGCGGGCAGATACCTAGCTTAGGAGTAAATTTAGACTGCAGGGATGAAAATGCGTGGAGATGATAACTGAAGTATTGAGGTCTCTTTATGATGCAGCGATCGTGTTTTCCTGAGCGTGTCATGGAGTAAATTTAACCTTTAGAAGGAGCTCCAGTGCTGTTATGAGTTAGTGTGGAGGTGGAACTAGAAGATGTGTGGAGGAGAGACAGAAGTGATGCCATAGCAGTTGCAGTATGGCAGGGAGAGAAGAGTGGAGTGGATAATAAGCACGAATGAAGTTTATATAAGCAAGGCAGTGGGAGAATAAAATAAATACAGCACAATAACAAGATTACAAGCTTCACATCCTCTGGGGCAGTAAAACTTGTGCATGCACAAGACTGACGTAAATCTGCTAGTTGTGTTTTTGCAAACAGTGAGTCATTTCATGAACCTGTGTGCTCGTAATAATTTAACAAGAAAACCCGAGCACCTGCATGCCTCGACAAAAAACAGCTAAGTCTGCTAATGTCTTTTTCTCTCCAGAAGATTGGCTTTTTGTTTACATTGCAATAATAAATAAATAAAAAAACGTGCAAAAAATGACCCTTTTAAACTGTCAATTAATCAACAAATTTTATTTTGCAGTTATCGCTCATCTTTGTTCAAGTTCAGAAGCTGACCTGATACATCTGAGAACTCCTCTGCTCTGAAAGTTGGTTCGCTTTCAGTCGTCTGGCTGACAAAGCACTGCATCGTGGGGCAGTGGACGATGAGGGAGCTGCTTGCCTGACGCAAAAGGCCCTCTAAGAACCTGAGGAGCAAAGAAGAAATTAAAGAAAGCAGAAGAGGCGTCATTAATCTTTACAGCTAGGTTTCATCTAAAGAGAGCAATTAAAAAGAGTGTTTCTCTGTTAAACCCAGAGGGTCAGAAAACAGGCAAGAGAAGGCTCAAGATGTATTTGTGAATGACCCAATGTTTTTTATGTGAAATGCATCAGTAATTCTGCTTTCTTTAAGATTTGTCAACACATTTTTAAATGCCTCTGTATCTAACACACACCAGGTTGTGTAGAGGTGCGTAACTGTCTGCCCTCCGTGCGAGTTCAATGGCTGCGTTTGCTGCAGCAGGATGCTCTTCAACATTCGTGTGATGTCCACATTGATGTGGCTCGAGAGGTTGTGCAGACTGGCTGCGTAGGTTCTTATCCCTGCCAGCAAGTCAGAGGGTCGTGTGATCTCCTGGGTGGTCTGGTTGTAATTGATCATTTTCACGATGATCCTGGAGGAACATGCAAAAACAGTCACTTGTCACCAGGCTGATGTTGGTCAAAGACCTTTAAATCTGGTTTAACAAGTGATTCAGCACTTTAGGTGAGCTGCAGGACTTCACTACAAATTTATTTAGGTGTTTCTTCAGGGCCCTTCATTCTCTTACTTTCTCTACTTTATTTTATTTACAGTGTTGGCCACAGAGGGACCAATCAATGCTAATATGCTGCTACTCAAGGACACTAAATTCAAGTCTACAAGGCAGATAATCAAAAAAGACAGAGACTAAAGAGAGTATATAAACATATATAAACATACATATAAACATACAGTACATACATATATGCATACATATATATATATAACACTAATCCAAATAGAAGTGAATACGTAAATAACAGAGCTAAAGGGTGACATGACATTTAAAGCAGTTCCAGCACAGCTTGACATGTGAAAGAGTCACAATGAAAAACTTAAAGCTTCATTTTAGTGATGGAGAAGATATTTTACAAGAACCAAGCTCATGATCTGCCTTATTGTAAGAAGGGCAACCAAAAAAAAAAAAAACAATAACCTAGAAATCATTTAAACTGGGACAGCTCTGAGAAAACTGAAGAGAATTAGCTCAAAATGATTTGTGTTAGCGTGCTGTCACAGTCTAGTCAAAGTGAAGCTTATCACAAAGGTCAGCTGACTGAATGGTGTGTCTGGAAGTCAAGAACAAATCTGAAGTAATACAAAAATAGCATTACATTGTTGTTATAATGTTAAGGCTGTGTTGTTATGGATGAAACAGCATTTCATGGACAGTATCTTGCTAATAGAAATAATAAATAAATAAAATAAAAACAGCACCGTATTCTAATTTTTTTAATAGTTTTCCTTCATGAATATATTACATCTGCATCACAAGGATGAAAAGATCAAAATCTGTATTTATGACATTTCTTTACACATTCAGGGGTGATTACATGATCTACGTCATTTAGAATAAATATAACACCCCACCCCACCCCCATACCACACACGCCTTCGACAGCTTACTCAGACAGGCGCATCTCCAGCTGAGAAAGGAGGAACTCTGTTGGAACAATGATGTGGTCGAAGACGATCAAGTCACTGCAGAGACTGTAGGAGGAGCAGAGCTCTGTCAGCATCAGATGCAACTTGTCCACACTAGGAGACAGACAGAGACAGAGAGGGAGGACAAAGCAAGCCTTTAAGATCTTTGGACAAATATTTTGAAAGTGACTTCAGGACAGATGTTCTGTCTCATACAAATGAAGTAATAAAGACACAAGAGAACTGAACCAAATGTCCAAAGTGAGAGGAGGGAAAAGAGACGGGATTACGATCCTTCAGACGTTATTAAGGAGCTTGGTTTGTGTATATAGAAAATGATCAAAGTAGAAATACTAAAATAAAATGTGCTGCCAATAAAAGTATTGAATGAGCTTTTACGAGATAGTAAAAAGGTATTTTGTTACTAACGTTTACTGGCTTGAGGAAGTACCCGAATGCCTCGACTGATTCAAAATGAAGGGTTATAAAGTATAAAGCCAGTTACACCTTATGTGCAAAATTAACTTGTTTTATAAAGACTCAAACAAAATCCATCATTCATTGGAGAAAATAAAGAAAATATCAAAAATATCATCAGACATAGGAATTTTAAAGCTTTATAAAGGCTCTATTCATACACTTCCATATTGGTAATCAATGATGGAAAGTTTTTCATCCACTTTTACCTTTAAACTTTTACATTTTCATATTTGAAAACATGTGACAATTCAACAAATATGAACAATATGTAAGAGTTTGTAATCAAGATCTAAATGGAAGCTCCTTTTAATTATTTAGTAAAGCTAAAAAATAGACGGTTTTAGTGAAGAACTTAGAAAACAGTTGAGTTCGAGGAAGATTTTTTAAATTAATACATTTTAACTTTTTTTTAAATAAATGGGTTAATGTCTTTTATTTAAAGATGGAACATGTTCAAAACTTAAATGATCAACGGGACTTGGATTTGTTAGATGAATTCTCAATTAACAGAAAGCGAGTAAGAAAATATTGGCTATTACTGTGATCAAGTTAGCAGGATTTAAAAATGAAGTTTAATTTCTCAAGTAATACCATCTGAAATAATTCATCTTTACACACATTGTCCAGCCTCTAAAAACGCTGATTAAATGGAGCAATTTAATGACCTCAAACATTCACAATAGAAACATAGGGCTCCTAAAATAATAACAATAAAATATCCTCTATACAAGTTGTGTTTTATTGTTTTATCATTAAATGATTGTTGTAAAGACCAACAGAGATGAGAATCCATACTATCTGAAAATATAAATGCCTTACAATTACAAAACACTAAATATTCATTTCTAATCATATCATTTCTCACATGTATGCTTGAATTTAAAAAAATGCATAAACCACATTAAATTGCATTTTTGACCATAAATACATTCCTAAATGCTAAATGCTTTCCTGTAAATACAGGACCTTATGAACCAATCAGAAAGCTGACTTGATCATTTCTCAACAGAAGAAAATAATATTGCATTATTTTATACATCAAATCTGAGTAGTTTAAAAGTGTTTTCCTAAAAATAAAATAAAAATTGCTGCAAAGTTGAATTCAATCAGGTTTTATTGTGCAGGCCAATAATTGTTATTATTATTAATTCTCTTGATAATGCTATAACATTCCCATACATTTGGGTGGCATCAGCTTATACTACCATCATCTCACGTCAGGTTGTTTAAGACAAGTAGAGAGAAATAAGTGGTACAATCAAGGAGACATCAAAACAAACTAACTTGGTGACCACGGCTCGGTCTTTTCTCAGGCTTTCGGCACCAGGCTTCTCCTTTTGGACCTCTCCCTTTTTTGGTACTGGCCTCTTTTGTTTTCTGTAGCGAGCAGCGCTGATGGTCTCAGCACAGTGCTTAGGCAGCAACTATACGGGGTTATTCAAGGAGAAGTAGGTGTAAAGATGAAAAGAAACACACACACAAATATGAGGGGAGAGGTAAACTTACAAGCACAACATGCTATACAGCCTCAATGAACAGGTTTGTGTTATTTCATTCTGTGAGTTGAAGAAACAACACTGCAACACCTTCTGCTCCAGAGTTTCAAACCTCTCTCACCATTTTATTCAAACTTCTCCTCACTCCTCCAGCTAAATACATTGCAACTGAGGCTGGCCTGATTATTTTTGGATATAAGCTCAGTCAGAACGCTGTTCTGCTGGATAATTAGTTTTCTGAAACTTGAAACCAACTCAGACTCCACCTGGTCATTGAGATTGCGCTGCTCAGCACATATCTCCAACATAACACCACTGGTCTGCTTGGCTATCTGCTCCAGGAAGGTCACACACAGGCGCAGACTCCGCTTCTCCATTAAGTTGTACTGCACACACACACACACACACACACAAACACATAAACAAGAGTAACAATCAGTGGGATGAGGAAGAAACATGCATTTCATAGTTATTGATCTGATGGAAAAAAAATGATGAAACAGTCTAAATGCCTAGCACAAGGTGCGAGCAAGTAACAAAAATGTACCTTCTTCAGTACAAGGTAAAAATATAATTAGAGGCCTAGCATTCCTCAAAGGAAGGCGTATTATCCAGTTTATCATGCCCGAGAGTTTAATAAGATCTCGTGCAATTTTGAGAAATGACCTTGAAAATCTTGAAAATAGCATTATTATTATTATTATTATCATTATCATTATCATTATTATTATTAATATTACCATTATTATCATTTGGAGTATATGTTGTGAATTCCGATGTGGCAGCCATGTTGATTGAAATTAACTTTGCAAGCTAATCAATTTTAGATGTAATAAATATGATCTCAGTTTCATTGAAATCCATACTGTGGTTAATAAAATATTTTGCTTACAGACAATCAGGGTTGACGTCATCATTTAATGGCAAGGTTTTAGTCGTAATACGTGTTTTGTAAGGTCAACTGGTTGTGGCGGCCGTCTTGAATTGGATTGAGTCCAAAAGTTTGTCAGCTGTAGTAATTACTTTCTAAAATTTTCAATAAAATCCAGTCATTGGTTCATGAGATATTTTACTAACAATACAGACAAACGTAAAAACACAGACGTGAGCAAATCTATTTCTTCTCCACCATTCCCTTCATGAGTGAGGAAAAATGATCTACAGTACAGTAGTTCAAGCTGGTGGTTTGAGCCAAAGACAACTGAACACTGACCTCTTCTGGGCAGAGAGGATGTCCACACTGAATGAAGTGAGAGCAGACAGAAGGGAAGGACATGATGTAACGCTTCATATTCATCTCCTCACTGCTCTGACTGAACATCTTCTCAAAGACACGTGGATAAAAACTGGAGAAAACAGATAAATCAGTCACTGGAGACACAAAAAAAGATTAGTAAACAGAAAAGAAGAGCCTGACCAGAGGATGGAGAGTTCAGATGTCTCCTGGAGCATTTCTTCCAGGCTGTCTACCATTTTGGTGTGAAACTGGATCATGTTCATCACCTTTGCCAGGTCAGGGTAGTCTTTCAGTGGAAGAGGAGCCTTATTCACACTTGTGTAGGCCTAAATAGAAAGCAATAAATAAAAACCCGTCATGTGTTCTCAAAAACTTAATTATACGCTCAGGCTTTAACAATGTTTGCATTTAATGATGTCACATGAAGACACAAACCTGTAATCTTAGCCAGTCCATTCTCTGTGCTCTGAAATCAAATTCCACTTTGTTGTCCACTACAGAGAGAAGACATTTATTCTTGCTACAATCTGATATTAACATCCTGATGCATGCTCAATAATCCAGGTAGAAAAATCCAAAAAAGTTCAATCTGGTCCTCTGGACATTCAAAAAAACAAAAAAACAAAACAAAGCAAAAAAAATCTAGAAACGTTTCGTCTCTCATCCAAGAGACTTCCTCAGTCTGAGGTGCTGTATTCAGCTCAGTCTCTTAAATAGCACCTTCACAAAGTGGATCAACCAGTTTGCTGCTGACAACCAAAACCAGCTGATCACATGCTCAAGAAGGACCATCAGCCTAACAATGGGTCATTAGCACACTGATGGCTGTGTACTATTCACAGAGGGCTGAGTGATACTAGCAATCACAGCATTGTAAGAGGGGGACAGTTGAACCCGGAGGCCTCCACCCCTGTTTAATGATGGACGATTTCTTTTCACAAAGATGGCCTCCTTTACTCCTCTCTCAAACCATCGTTCCTCTCTGTCCAGGATGTGAACATCTTCATCCTTGAAAGAGTGACCGCTGGCCTGGAGATGAGTGTAGACCGCAGAATCCTGGCCTGATGATGTTGATCTTCTGTGCTGGGCCATCCTTTTGGCCAGTGGCTGTTTAGTTTCCCCGATGTAAGACTGATCACAGCCCTCCTGACACTGAACAGCATACACAACATTACTCTGTTTGTGCCGGGGGACTGGATCTTTGGGATGAACCAGTTTTTGCCGTAATGTATTTTGTGGTTTAAAAGCCACTGGGACGTTATGTTTAGAAAATAAACGTCTCAGTTTCTCTGATACCCCCTCAACATACGGAATGACCACTGGTCTGGGTCTGGGTTCCTCCTTTTCACCTGATGGCTGACTGGAGTCCTGTTTGGGTTTCTTCTCTGCTTTCAGGAAGGCCCAGTTAGGATATCCACATTGCTCTAGAGCCTGTCTTGTGTGGGATTTCTCCTTCTGCCTGGCTCCCGAGCTAGTGGGGATGCTGTCTGCTCCGTGATACAGAGTCCTGATGACTCCTAACTTGTGCTCCAAAGGGTGATGGGAGTCAAACTGCAAATACTGGTCTGTGTGGGTGGGTTTGCGGTACACCTCAGTTTGCAAATGTCCTCTATCAGAGACTGAGACCTCGCAGTCCAAGAAAGCCAACTTGCCATTTTTTACATCTTCTCTTGTGAACTTAATGTATTTATCCACAGAGTTGATGTGGTCAGTAAAATGTTGGACTTCCTGAGATTTAATTTTAACCCAGGTGTCGTCAACATACCTGAACCAATGACTTGGTGGTGTCCCTGAAAAGGACGTCAAGGCTCTCTTTTCTACCTCCTCCAT